GCGCAGCTGTTTGCAGCCTACCCACTGCTTGCTGCAGCAGCCCAGAGCCCAGGCTGGCTACAACAGCTGCGCTGGGCTCTGGAGCCCAGTCACCCGCTGTGCCAGGAGCAGGGGAGAGACTGGGGTTGCGCTGCCTCAGGCCCCTCCCCCACTGTCTGATCCGAGGTGCGCGTGCAAGCGCCAGTACAGAGCTGATGCTGGGGCTCTGGAGCCTGGTGCAGCTATTTGGAGCCTCCAGGCTGCAGCCAGCCCCAGCTCTGGGTAGCTGCTGCCAGCTGGGAGTCTGGGCTGCTTCCAGCAGAGGGCTGGAACATTGCAAGCCCCGCTAGGAGCATCCCGGGCTCCAGCAGCTACTGAGAGCCAGAGCCAGGTGCAGCCAGGAGGCTACAAACAGCTGCTGCCTCCTCACCCCCAGCTCCAGCCCCAGCCGCAACGGGCACAGTGTCAGCACCTACTGCCTTCCCAGAGCCCGCTACCAGCAGCTACACAGAACTTGGGCCAGCTGCAAACATCTGCTGCCTATCTGCCCTGGCCCCAGCTGCCTCCCAGCCCCAGACCTGACCTGGGGAAGCAGCACATACCGGCAGTGCTCCTCACTGTGCTACCCTCGCCGTTTCTGCAAAGCAGCGTTGGAACCCAGTGCGGCACGGCACAGTGTGGGGCACAGAAAGCTGCCTGCTCCCAGCTCCCTGCTGCCCTGCCAGACTTCCCCTGTGTGCATGGGAGCAGCAGTGCAGGGTTGTGCCCCTTGCTGCTGCCCCTGCCTGCAGGGGAAGTGTGGCAAGGCAGCAGGGAGCTGGGAGCAGGCAGCTTTCTGCCCCAACCCCCCCATGCCCTGCCACACTGGGTTCCAATGCTGCTTTGCAGAAGCGACAGAGAGGGCAGCACAGAGGGGAGCACTGCAGCTATGTGCTGCCTCTCCAGAGCCTGGGGCTGGGTCTTGGAGGCAGCAGATGTTTGCAGCTGGCCCAGGTTCTGGGTAGCTTCTGACAGCCACCGAGCCCGGGGTAGGGGGCAAGGAGCACAAGCAGAGCATCCTGCCACATACCCCCTGCCCTCATTTTGTTTTTCTGGCATGCCAGCACTCCATCACTTTCCAAAGTAGGCATTGTGGGGGGTTTTGGCACTCCCCCCAAAAAAACATTGCCTACCCCTGAGTTATAACAATGCATCATAGATATATTACAACATAAAAGCTTCCATAGTTCACAAGAGAACAATGCAACCATCCTGGGTAATGTGCAAAACAATTATTTCCCAACCCGTCAATTATAAATATGATTCAAAAAACAGATTATCCTTCTGGAATATAAACATAGGAGCTCACTGAACGAGTTGCACTACAAGCAA